TAGTGGCTCCTTCTTCATCCATTACCCCATTTGGGTAAGTGACTTCGCCCTTCTCCTCCCCTACTCCTTGCATGTCTACTCCCTAGAGATAGCAGTGACAAGTCTCCTCTCTAGAAACAAAAGTTAACTTAGATCTTGGTCCAGCACCAAGATTCTCAACCTTCCCATCCCTTCCCCTTGGCGAGTTCACTCTCTTGGTTCTTGGCTCCTCAGCAGAGCCCTGTCCAGGCAACCAAGACTCTCAACAGGCAAAGCCTGGCACTAGAGAAGTAGCGGTGACAACTCCCTTCTCTCAGTCCCAGAAAGGCTTCGACCCTGGGGCCAGTAAATTGTGTGGTGAAGACCTTTTTAACTACAGTCCTCTCTCTCACTCTGTTTGGCCTAGAGCTGGGGACCCCTGCCTCTAGCCACTCCAGCCCTCCCACTCACCATGGGGAACTCCCAGTCCAGAATCCCATCTGACTCACCTCTCGGCTGCCTCCTTGCCCACTTAGCCCTATTCTGTTTGGCTCCTGACTATCTCAGTGTTTTATGGAATCCTCATAACTTTTCTGAGTGCTCAGGAAAATGGAAGGAAATCCCTTATGTGCATGCTTTCTCCTTTCTGCACTCTAAGCATTCCCTTGGCTCCTCTTGCTCCCTGGCCCAGCTTCTACTTGCTACTAAAGTTCTGGACAAACAAGGGACCCAGAACCCTCACCTCTTATTCTGTCAGCATAGTACATTGTAAAGCCCTTGGCAGCATCTCCCTGGCCAAGGCCACACTGAAGCTAATATTGAAATATAAAGGAGGACAGACTCAGCAGGCTGGATAAGAGGCCTAAGACTTAAAAAAAAAAAAAGTGTCAATTTAACTTTTCTGATAAACCCAGCCTAATTCCCTCTTAAGAAAAGGAGTCATGTTGTCAAAAGTTATAAAAGATTCATTTCTGTTTTCTGTAAAATATTAGGATTTTTTTTAAAGAGAGAGAGAGAGAGGAGAGAGAGAGAGAGAGAGAATTTTTAATATTTATTATTTAGTTCTCAGCGGACACAACATCTTTGTTGGTATGTGGTGCTAAGGATCGAACCCGGGCCGCACGCATGCCAGGCGAGCACGCTACCGCTTGAGCCACATCCCCAGCCCAAATATTAGGATTTCTATTTGGCCTTGCCATATTTTGATGTTTTAAACTTGCTTGGAATGCCTGCCTGTGCCTTGAACTCACCGTGCCTGGCTTTCCCTGACTAGATAACAACTCTCTCTGAAACCCTAATGGCACCTCATAAATTCTGATGTTGGGATCCAAATTTATTCCCTAAGTGCTGAACCATTTAGACCACTAACCTACCACCCKCCTTTGTATTATGCTTGTCAAAATCCTGTCATCTGTAAGTTCTCAAGACACCCCCCTTTTTGCAACTTCTTGTGCTATAAAACTGTGCTCCTAGAGCCCTGGAGATCTGTCTTCTATCCCACGGATTTCGGGAGAGAGACTGTCCCGGCTAGTCGGAATTACAAGCTTGCTTTAATTTGATTTAAAATTAGAGTCGGAGGTCTTTTCTTTGCGTCGTGGTTTAATATTTTCCCTTGGCTACAACACAGAAGAATGACTTCGAAACTTTCTCTCTCTCTCCATCTCCCTGATGTCACACGCCCATTTCACCTTCACGTGGCTAAAAAGCAGGGATTTGCTCTAGGATACTCAGACACATGCTAGGGCCAACCTTTGCCCCATGACCCTACTGTTGGGGGATGGGACCCTTACCTACAAATGTTTTGCCACAGCCTCTCTACTCATTAATGAGTCAAAGAAACTCACCTTTGGAGCCCTACTCACCATCCTGGCTCCTCATCACCAAAAGGAACTCCTCACCTACAGGGCTTACATTCCTTACCCCCGTCACCTTTGATCTCTACAGGTGTCCCTGGTGGAAGATCCCAGTCTTATTTCCACCTGTGCTCACCTTTAACCCCTGCTACTCTCCTCCCCACTCCTCAGGACTCTCCCACCTCTCCTCCTCTCACCCATTCATGCATTGAAACTCTGGAGGAGCTCCTTCCACATCCTTCCCCAAAGGCCCCTTGCTCCAGGCAACATGCACATGGTTCACAGATAACTCCTCCTTCCTTCAGGAGGGAGTTCATGGGGCAGGTGACACCCACAGGCCCTCTCAAGCTGTGTTCCTCCAAGGCCGGAACCCCCAATCTTCCTTCGGTCTCTGAGGACCACGAGGACACTGCAGAACCATGAGTACCGCCCTTCCTTTCTTCATTTTTGCCCGCCTCCCTTGTTCTGCACTCACCTTCCAGGGGGACCACTACCAGGGATTATCATTCCAATTTCTAGGACACTTACAGCAACTTGCTCACACCATACTAACCCTGCAGTCCCAGCTTGATCCTTGAGCTGCTGTGGTTCTGCAGAATCGAAGGGGCCTTGATCTTCTAACAGCCAAAAAAGACGAATTTGTCTGCACCTACAGGAGGAATGCTCTTTTTATGTCAATCAATCTGGTACAGAAAAGGACAAGATAAAACATCTCCAACAGGACCTTGAATATCAGAAACAATAGCTGTCCTCTGCTGAAGGATGGCAGTTCAGTAACCCCCTTCTCTGGTGGACACTTCCTCTCCTGACCCTTCTTGTCATAGGTCTTCTGTTAATGCTTGCTCCCTGTGTCATTAGATTTGTTCAAGACCAGATCCAAAAAAACTCTAGCCAAACTATAAACCAGCTTTTGTTACAGGAATACCAATCCCTCACCAAAAACTGGGGCACTGGGGACAGCATTCCACCACCACTCAACCCCTCTGTCATCATTCCAATGACATCCTAATGAGGGATTCAAATGCCACCCCTACCCAGCAGGAAGGGAAGGGTTACAGAAGATTGACCTACATCCCTGTTCCCTAAGGGGCCCAATAAAAAACSAAAAAGGGGGAATATAAGGTCCTTGCTTGGCATCTGGATGGCCACCTTAAGTGACAGCTGCCATTGTAAGGRAAAAGTTTCACTTTCCCACCCAAGGGCCTTTCTAAGAAAGGCTCACCATTCTCTCATACCAACCCAGCCCCTAACCACCTGCATTAGGACTCTCTCAGCTCAGATTCCTGAGCCTGCCTCATAAAAGTYCCAGAACCCAAGCCTTCTTTGTCTCTCTCCACTATAGAGAGATGCACTTTATTTGTSAGCTCTGACAAACTCTCGTGTGGATCTCTGCCTGGTCTCCGTCTCTCTTTCTTGCTTTCCCTTCACGATCCTCTTCTAAGAGCCTTACCTCAACTAACTGATTTCCTGTGAAGTCCGAACTACTGTAGTGCATTTTCCTAGAATGGAAATTGAGGCACAGGGAAGTAAATTATCTTCCTTAAGGTTTTACTGCTAGTAAATCAAAGAGACCGCTTTGTTCCAGAGTCCTGAAACTGCCACTAGATAGGGGTGTGCAGAAAAGACAAAGAGACCCCAGATCAGCCCTGACAGATTCTTGACTTAAGGCACAGAAAGGAATTTCAGGACACATCAAAAGAGGCACAAACAAGGAAAACAAGATTCATTTAGGAATGAAAGCAAAGGGAGAAAGTGTGGGCAGTCAAGAGTGAGACACACTTCTGGGGTTGAGGGCTCTTCATTTTAAAGGAAGCTGTAAATAGTGGATGTGAGAGTAAAGGGGGGTGATGTCGGCCTGGTGGGCTCCACTCTCCCACTCAGGGAGCACAGATCGGGTCACAATGGTCTGATTCTTTCAGGATTTCTAGGTTGATAACCACATCATAAGTCTTTAGCAATATTTTCCTATTACTTTATTTAGTCTAAAGAACAGACTAGCATGTTTAAGCTAGCATTTTATGTAGCCATTAATCACTTAGACTTATGATATTCTAAGAGTCAAAGGCTTYTGTGGTCTCCTTTCTACCTATCCTTATTTTTTCTAGCCTACTTCCATATGACTAATGAGGCTGAGCATTATGAAGACTTTGATGGACTTCAGAGGCAGGGACAACCACATTTAATTAGTGTAAATCCAACAAGAATTCATAATAAAAAATTTATATGTCTCACAGTTTATAGCGTGGTTTTATGTGGATTCTTTCATTTTATGAGATAAGCCAGTATAGAGTTGTGGTTAACAGCACAAGGTCTGTAATCTGATAACCCCAACGTTAGTTTCCCACCCTGGCAGGGAAACAGGCTAAGGTGTGTTTGGAGCCTTTGTGTATGTGTGTGTGTGTGTCTCCACCTTCTCATTTGTAAAAGTACTTACTACATGTTGTCATGAGAGTTAAATGAGATAATAATGCCCTTAAAGCACTTGGCAGTGTGCCTGTCATATAGTAAGTGCTCAGAAAAAAATAAATGATACAAAATACTGTCTTATTTCATTGGTCACAGGTGATGTATCGAAGGTTCTGGGCCCATTAAGCTTCACAATAACTTTGGGAAAGTTTTGTCCTTATTTTACAGAGAATAACAGCACATGCCTTGTAGGTCCCAGGCACTGTTCTAATGCACTTTGCAAAGTCAGTCCTCAAAACAATTCTGATAGGTGCTATGCGTTATAGTGACCATTGAACAGGGGAGGAAACAGTACCAGTTACAGCCAGCAAGAGAAGCAACCAGCGGGGTTGCTTCCAGGGTCTTATTAATATCCACATGGCCTTAGGAAACACTTGACAGAATAAAAACTACCACTCCCAATAACCCACGGGCTCCAGGTTCATTTCAAACCCTAGGATTATCACTCCGTTCAGCAGATGGTGCGCTAGCGCGTAGCAAATAGCAGGCCTTGCATAAGGGCTCAAACTACCATACCCACAATGCTGTGCGGGCATCGCTCTCCTGCTTGGCTGTCCAAGGCAGTGCCTGTGCGCGCTCCTGGGAAATCGTGTGTATTGAAACCCTTCGTGTTGTTCTCTTTGAAGTCTGAAAGTTAAGCTCCTTCTTTCCCCAACCCTGCCTGTCTTCTTGGTTGGAGAATGGTAGGATTGAAACAAGGCGCCCTTCGTGGCCTCCCTTGCCCTCGCCTAACGTGAGGACCCTTGATCTCTGGCCCAAGATGGCAGCGCCCATAGCACCACTCTTGGTGCTACCCTGAGGTGAACTAAGGCCGAAAGCCCCGCATCATGTCGAAGCTGAGCCGCGCCACTCGGGCCCTCAAGAAGCCCGAGGCCAGCGGCGTGATCCGGACCATCGTGCGGGCAGGCCAGGCCATGCCCGGGCCCCCTCTCGGCCCCATCCTGGGTCAGGTGCAGCAACCGCGGCAGCCCGGCGTGGGAGGCGGGAGGGCGCGAGCTAGTACGCGGGCTCTGCCACCGGGAGGCCTCGGCTAGAAGCCCACCTCTCCACCTCTGCCCCGGCAGGCGCTGTGCCCTGTCAGCTGGCAGCTCTCCGGCCCCCGCCTTCTCCGCCTGGCGCCGCGCGCCGTGGCGGACCAGGTGGCAGTGCACAGGAGCCGTCCCGCCCCGACTGGACCCGCGGACCGGACCTGGGAGGAGGGAAGGTGGGCGCCCGCGGTAGGGGGGGAGAGGTGACCCTGACTGTCGCGCTTCCCACGCAGCGGGGCGTTTCGATCAACCAGTTCTGCAAGGAGTTCAACGAGAGGACGAAGGACATCATAGAAGGCATTCCCCTGCCCACGAAGATTTTTGTGAAGGTGCGGAGAGCGGACTCGTCCCTGGTTTCCTTCTCATCACCGCCGCCTCCACCCCCCCCACCCCCACACGTTCTTCTGTCACCACGGCCTGGTCACCCGGGTTGCTGCTCTGGCCCTGGTCACCCGGGTTGCTGCTCTGGCCCTGGCTTGGCGCGGACTCTCCCATCACTGGGCTGCAGTGTCCCCGCTCACCCAGTGAAGACTACACCATACATATTTTTTTTCTTCTTTTCTCTGGTACCGGGGATTGAACCCACGGCCTCAGGCGAGCTAGGCAAGCAAGTACCACTGAGCGACACCCCCAGTCCCTTGGTCTTTTTAATTTTGAGACAGAGTCCCCCAAGTTGTAGAGGCCGGCCCTGAACTTCCTACCTGAACCTCTCTGTTCTAGCTGGGATTACAGGGGTGCCCCACCAAGCCAGGCTTAGACCATCTTTTTTCAGAATCTGCCTGGTCCTGCCATTTTGCAGTCCTTCCCCTTGTCCTTCCATCACTGGGGCTTCCAGAGCAGAGGTTGGGCTTGAAATACAGTCGACAGGGATGTTTCTTGCAGATTTATTTTGCCCTATAGCTTTGTGGTCTGTTAGACACCGAGAGGAGGGAGGAATAGGACATTAAAAGTTCCCTGGGCCTGAGCACACAAAAAAGACATTATCATGTTTCTTTTTTTCTGTTAAGCCTGACAGGACATTTGAAATCAAGATTGGACAACCCACCGTTTCCTACTTCTTGAAGGCAGCTGCTGGGATTGAGAAGGGGGCCCGGCAGACTGGTGAGGGCCAGAGTGGGCACCTGAGATACTGGGGGCTCTAGAGAAGAAAGCAATAACACCTGAAGAGCTTGTTCCTTCCTCCAGGGAAAGAGGTGGCAGGCTTGGTGTCTTTGAAGCACATATATGAGATTGCCCGGGTCAAAGCCCAGGATGATGCCTTCGCCCTACAGGATGTACACCTGTCCTCTGTCGTCCGCTCCATCGTTGGCTCTGCCCGATCCCTGGGCATCCGCGTGGTGAAAGAGTGAGTGTCCTGGGAGGTGTGGTGTGAAGAGAGGAAACAGAAAGCTCTTGATTTGGGGTCCAAGCTAAGAGGGTCCATTGTAGTGAGTCAGCTTTTGACTTCAAGGACCTTAGGTTCTTGGSTCTGGGTTGAGTCCTCATGCATCATTTGGAACACACTTTGTGTATTAGACATAGCTCTTGACGTTTATGGAGAGTTGTGGTTGGCCCACCCTCAGGAGCTCAGAGTCCAGAGGCAGAACCATAATAGGGCATTAGGCTGCTAGATGGTCACTRCTGGTAAAGGAACAATGGATGCCCAGAGAGCAGAGAGGAGGGCTCCTGTGTTGCCTGGTGTGTCAGTGAGGACTTTTGTGGGGAGGTGACATCTGAGCAGAGTCCAGGAAAAAGAGGGCAAGCACTGGGGGCATATGACCCAAGAAGTGGAAAGATCCCTATGAAAGGTAGAAGGTAAGAGAGTGAAGCAGAGATCATTGCCTTGTGGGAATGTAGTCTTAGCAGCAGTTGGGACATGGTCAGAGGGAGGGACCAGTCTTTGTTGTCCCATATTCAGACTTGATTCTGAGGCTAACGGGTCCTCTCAGGGGTCTTCTGGTGATCTTAGGACTTACTTTCTGGAGGTAGGCATTGGGTGGGAGGTGTCTGGCCCAGACCACAGCAGGGACAAGAGCAGCCTGAGCTCTGGGCAGTCTCTTGCTGTCCGCGTCATGCCCCACCAAGGCCGACACTTTTCTCCCAGGAGTGGGATTGATCCTGGAACAGAGATGGACTCAGCTTATTTCAAAACTTTACTTTTTTGGGGAGTAGAGAAGAATAGATTGGGTCCCTGCCCTCAGGGACCCACTGTCAGTTTCTGCCTTGGGACCCTAGGAAAGGAGACAAGCACTTTTTATTTAATTATTTGTTAGTAGTGCTGAGGATGGAACCCAGGATCTTATCCATGCTAAGCATGTTCTCTATCACTGGGCACACAGAGAAAGGGCCAGCTAATCTGGGCTAGTGCATAGCCAAAGCCTCACAGGATGAAGAGGGCTTTAAGAAGGCGATAAAAGGATGGGGGTACAGGAGTATGGGTGGCATTCCTGGCAGAAGAAACAGATGAGCAGTAGTGTGGAGGCTGGGAAGTCCAGGAGAGAAAAGGGGCCAGGCCCAGCTGGGCTCTACAATGGGGATCCTTGAGAGCTCCCACCTATGACTGGCCACTTATCAACCATCTGTCTTTCTTCACCTGCAGCCTCAGTGCGGAAGAACTGGCAGCCTTCCAGAAGGAGCGAGCTGAATTTCTGGCTGCTCAGAAAGAGGCAGATTTGGCAGCCCAAGCAGAAGCTGCCAAGAAGTGACCCCTGCCCTCTGCACTTGAGGAGTCTGAAGGAAGCAACTAAAAGGGAGCCAGAGGGAAGGGAGKTCACACCAACGTGTGTTTTCTGACTTCAAATGATGTATGTTTTTACATATCTGGCCATATCAAGGGATCAATCCCTAATAAACATCCTTTGTTGGCATACACTGTTGGTTTCTGCCTTGGGACCCTAGGGAAGGAGACAAGCACTTTTTATTTAATTATTTGTTAGTAGTGCTGAGGATGGAACCCAGGGTCTTATTCATGCTAAGCATGTTSTCTATCACTGAGCTGTACCCCATCCCTGAGTAATCAACATGGACTAATGCTAGCTGCTCCRTGAGGTAGATAGGCCCCTCGGATGCCTATACTGGGGTTCAGCCAAGCAAAGTAACCTGCCCAGTGTCTTAGTCTTTTTTATGTTGTTACAACAAAATATGTGAGTCTGAGTACTTTATAAAGAAGAGAGGTTTATTTGGCTCATGATTTTGGTGGCTGTAAAGTCCAAACAACATAGCTTTGGGGTCTAGTGAGGGCCCTCTTGGATGCGACACAATATGGCCAAGTAGGAAGGGAAACACATGCAGAAGGGACCGAGCACATGGGCTGGCCTCACTTTATGACAACCCCTTCTCTTCTAGAGATCAGCATTGATATATTCATGAGAGTGGAGCCCTGTCACCTACTTATCTTTGGCTAAGCTCCACCTCTTAATGCTTCTACCACTTAATCCTGCCACAGTCAATCACTCCTCCAGCTGGCGAACCTTTGGGCAATAAACCATGGCAGTCAGGTTCTGAGGCGGTGCTAGAGGCAGGAGCCAAAGCCAGGCCTTCCGATTAGAAATCCTGTGTTCATGGGGCTGGGGATGTGGCTCAATCGGTAGCGCGCTTGCCTGGCATGCGCGGGGCACTGGGTTCGATCCTCAGGACCACATAAAAATAAAATAAAGATGTTGTGTCCACAAAAAAAAAAAAAAAAGAAAGAAAGAAAAAAGAAATCCTGTGTTGAGGCATGGAGCTGAAGCTCAGTGGAAGGGCCGTAGCCTAGCATGTGGGGCTCTGGGTTCAATCCTCAGGACCACTAACTAAATCAATCTTGTCTTTGTTCCCTCCCCAGAGGGGAGAGGATGGGTATGGTAGTTGGGGTTCATGGATGCTAGGACTCGAGAGTATTGCTTATTTTCGATTAGACATCTCATCTCTCAGGGAGTGCTACCTCAACAGAAACAACCCTGTGGGAGATTTCAGATCACAGCCTCAGGTAGGGTTACTACATTCAGTGCCCCAGTTCCTGAGGCTACTCGCAACCCCTCTGTTTAGCTGAATTTTGTCTATTTTTTGCAATGCTGAGTAGGAAAACCAGCATGTAAAGCCAGTGTGCTACCACTGAGCTACACCCAGCCCTCTCCCAAGCTTCTGAACTAGGTTAACATGAACTAGTGCAGGTTCCCACTGTAGACCTGCAAAAGAATCAAAGCTTCAGTAGGTACTTGCCCCAGAAATCCTCGGGAAGCCCTTGGCCCCATTTTCCCTGTTATTCAGAATGTCAAGAATTCTTGTCCTAAGAGGAGTGGAGGGAGAAATTTGCACTTACTGGGCATCTGCATGTGCTGTGTCCACACTGAGAAAACTGGTAAGTATAGAAAAACACCTTTAAAAAATTAAAATCTGTAATCCCACCATCCAGATACTACTACTGCCAATAACTTGATATCATGTTTTTTAGCTTTTTTCTCTGCATTTTTGTTTATATGTAAGGTTTTTTAAAAAACAGATTGGAGGACTGGAGTTGTGGCTCAGCCTACAGAGTGCTTACCTAGCACATGTGAGGTCCTGGGTTCGATCCTTGGCACCACATAAAAATAAATAAAGTGAAGGTATGTGTCCTGCGAGGGCTTTCTTGTCCAGCGAGGAGGTCCATGGAACAGGCTGGAGGAGAGTGTGGCTGTGGAGTCACTAATCAAGGCCTCTGGAGACCAAGCAGGAAGCAGGTCTGATTTTATTGCGTAGTTACCACGTATATTTACTCAGGCAGTAGCTAAGCAGATTACAGGCAGCCACCAATGCAATGTCTGTTAACTGCCCTTGCAGCGACCACTGGAGGAGTGGGCCATGGAGCAAGCACAGGGACTGCAACCCATGGCCCCACACCCAGGGCTGTGCCTAAGGGGTAAGCGGTCTGCCACTCATGCACTAAGCAGAGGGGAGTGGCCTGCCACTCAGACGCCCTTAACATATGCCATGTATACAGTGCTCCATGCACTTGTCCCCACTGTGTCCAATACAACTAAAAAATATTTAAAACAGATTGGAAGCTAGGGTCATAGCTCAGTGGTAGAGTGCTTGCCTAGCATACCGGAGGCCCTGGATTCCATCCACAGCACTACAAAAAGCAACCAAAAAAGGGGCCCATAGTCACAGTCAGCTGTAGTCAACTTTTTTTTGTACCAGAAATTGAACCCAGGGCACTTAACCACTAGCCACATCCCCAGCCCATTTTATTTTTTGAGACAGGGTCTCACTAAGTTGCTGAGGCTGGCTTTGAATTTGCGATCCTCCTGCCTCAGCCTCCCAAGCTGCTGAGATTACAGACGTGTACCACTGTGCCCATCTTATAGTCTACTTTTTTTAAAAAAATATTTTTAAATTGTAGATGGATACAATACCTTTATTTATTTATCTTTATGTGGTCCTGAGGATCGAACCCAGGGCCTCACACATGTTAGATGAGCACTCCACTGCTGAGCCACAACCCCAGCTCTGTAGTCTACTTTTAACTTAGCAATTATTTAGAACATGTCTCATTACTGATTATCTTTCTCAAACTTTGTCACTGGGAATTGAACTCAAAGGTACTCTRCTAATGAGCTACATCCCCAGGTTATTTTGTATATATATATAAAATCTATTTAGTTGTAGATGGACACAGTATCTTTTTAAAATTTACTTATTTTTGTGTGGTGTTAAAAATCAAATCCCTGCCTCAC